TGATCTAGGCCTACTACGGCTCATTCGATTCGTAATTTTATAGGCCAATTGAAATACATAAAAAAACAATTTTGCAATAAATATTACGTTTTTTTAAATTAAAGGTCTTTTATAGTACTTTTATAATCTATAGAGAAATTACCCGTTACAACACTTACTTTAGGCAAAAAATGAAAAAACTCAAAAAATACGTATTTTGCACCTATAAACGCTCATAAATAAACAATCCAAATTTTTTTGTTGAATGAACTGGTGATTGCTCCTGAGGTTGCCCTTTATAACCTAGGCCACATTACATAAATTCCTGGATTAGAGAGTACTTTTTCCCCCACAGCCTGGGCTATTAAGAGAACGACTGCGTTAATTCAAACCGCGGCCGGCGCCTTAAAAAAATTGTGAAAGATATAGTTGGGGGGAAGTGATGAAAAGCTATGAAATTTTCAATGTTAAAAGTATTTATTTTTTTTATTATATGTAAAAAAATATATAATTATTGAAGTAAAAATAGGTTTGTTATAACACAACGAAAAACCGTCACGTAACTTTTAAAAATGTAGGAAACATTTTAAAAAAGTTTCCAAATTATTAAACCAAAAATTTCATCTCCACAGACATCGTTCCATCTTATTATACTAGTAACAATAATTGTCCTGTTCAAAAAAGTATTAGATGAAACTTTTTACTAAATTTTGTATTTCGTCGAAACTTTTTATCTATAATCTTAAAAGCATTCCTAATATAGTTTATAATATTAAACAGTAACTTTTCATGAATAGTCTATTATAATAGCACAGGGAAATAAGCATTTTTTCATGACACTCGTCCGTCCAGGCAAACGACAGTTGTTTTGAGTAGTGGGGACCTGTGTAACAAAAACCTATGTTTCCAGTCGATTTTTTGGACTAAATTAGTTATTAACAAATTAAGTTCAAAAAAACGGAAAATTTTTGCTTTTTTCGTCAATCAGCAAAAAGTGAAGCAATTTAAACAAATTTTAGAAGAGAGGAAACTTATAAGTTATATAAAAACCTTCAAAATGGTGTTCTCAAAATGTTTCTATCCTTATTTGTTGTTTAGAAAGTTGCAAAATAAGTCAAAAAATTTTGGTTTTTTATAATGTTAATAACTTTTTTGAAATATTAACTTATAATATTTATATTTTATGGAATGATGTGTCTTGTAGTGCTTTAAATAGGGTTAAAATTTCAAAGTGATCGGTCTAATAGTTTAAAAGTTATTTTATTTGTTTATCCCAAATTAACATTTTTTGCAACAATATAAGTCAGAAATTTATACAGTTTTAGATATTGTAAGGGTTGTTTCTGGTAGAAGAAGACTTGGTTTTATTATTTACATTAAAAAAAAATTAGGAAAATTAATTTTAAATATTGCAAATAATTTTGCAAAAACATGTCGATTTTTTGCTTATAAAACAATTAGAATAACTTTTTAACCATTGACTATAAAAATATTATTTTTACATATTAAAAAAGCTTGAATTTTTTCACAAATTTAAATAAAAAAAAGTTTGTCCTAAAATAATTTGGTACAAAGTTAGCTCTTTTTTTATTTAATTAGCACTTTGTTTATAACAATTAAGAAATCGAATTTAGCGCTATTTAAACGAATATACGTTATAGTCTTAAAGTGCTGAATTTTAAATTTATAGCCCTTTAATGGAATCCTCCACAAAGCTTCAAATGTATGTAAAAATCGGTCGGCTTTGAAACTCCCGGGAAAGGGAAAGCTGAAGGGAGGGGAAAGCGCGCTGTTAACTGTATCTCTGTTCCTTTTTTATGTATTTCAACGTTTTCTTTTTTTAACTTGTATGCACTTTTTGTGTACATTACGAATATGCATTATTTCAATAAATAAAATTGTCAAATAAACCACCTAATTTGTTTAAAAACAATTTTTTAAAATTTGTTTAGTAGTATTTAATTTAAGTTTGAATATTAAAACAGAAGTACTTTGGGTATAAGCCACAATTTAAGTTTATAATAAGTTTATTTTTGACGTTTCGATTTCTACTTCGGAAATCTTTTTCAGAATACAGAACATTAACAAATTAATCAATTTTGTTTTTGGTTACTTGGTAGAAAAATTTGGTTGGAAAATTTTTCTGATAACTCTTCTAAGTGATTGATTAGGGTAGGAAGCTCAGTAGATCTGTTTTAGTAAAAATTACAAAAAAAGTTATTGATAAAAATTGTAGACAGCTTTAAACTCCACATTTTTAAATTAGTTACAAACTTACAGGGTGTTCTATACGATTGTGGCAGACCAAACTTATGTTTTTTTTTTAATGAAACACCCTGTATTTTATTTTAAATTTAAAATCTGCTTCACTTCCACATCACAACAATGTAAAATTTTATTATGTTATACCGGGTATTTAAAAAGTTATAACCAATATTACCTGAAAATGATGAAAATTATAGATAAATATGATCTGGATATTGGGGGAATGGGGGAAAAAATTGGTGTGACAGAGGAAAACGAAATGAGTGTGTTGATGGCAGTTACAGAAAACCCACTCACAAGTATAAGGAGCATTTCC